GACCAACCGACCTATCGATTCTCGAGAAGATTACTCGAATGGGAACAATTCGATGGACGATTAACTACCAAAATCAAACTTTTAAGATCGCATTCTTTCGAGTTCGATTTTCATAAAGAAAAAGAGAAAGAGAGAGAGAGAGAGAGAGAGAGAGAGAGAGATGTGTATGTAATAAAATAAAGTTATATGAAAAGAGTCAAATGATGATTGGTGATGAATATCAATATTTTATATTAGTATCAAATATTGCGAATAGTTTTAGTTATTGTTTTATTTAAAAAAAAAAAAAAAAGAATAAAAGGATCAATAACAACGATTTTGTCTTTCTAATTTATCTTAGATACGAACACTCAGACGAAAAAAGAGAGAGAGAGAGAGAGAGAGAGAGAGAGAGAGAGAGAAAGAAAGAGAGGGGAGGGAGGGAGGGAGGGAGGGAAAGAGAATGTAATCATGCTTAAGAAAAATAGAGGAGGAGGATGAAAAAGGTAAAATGACTATTGTGAATATTTTATGATAACGATTTTTATCTTACGTCTCTCTTTCTCTCTCTCTCTCTCTCTCTATTTTTTTCTTTTTCTTTCTTTCTTTCTTTCTTTCTTCCTTTATTTTTCATGAGATACGAGACGAGGGAAATGGAGATAGACAGGGAATGTAATCACGTTCGGGAAAAACCGGAGAAGGGATGAAAGGGATGAAATGACGATCGTGAATATATTCTATGATATTGAAAATCGCGAAAGTATAAGCTGTGTTATTTAGAGAAAAAAAAAAAAAAAAAAAAAAAAGAAAAAAAAAGGAAGATTTAAGAAAAAAAAAAAAAAGGAATGAGAAAAAAAGAACGAGGCAGAAGAAGAAGAGAGGAAAAAGAGATAAATAAATAAAAATAATAAAAGTAAATAATAATAATGAAAACGAAAAAATAAGAAAAAAAAAAAAATTACAAAACGAAAAAAGGAAAAGAAATAAAAAAAGCGACAAACACAATGATTTGATTTTATCTTATCTATTCTCACTCTCTCTCTCTCTCTCTCTCTCTCGCTCTCTTTCTTTTTCACGAAAGGCGAGAAAGATAGATAGATAGAGAGAGAGAGAGAGAGAGAGAGAGAGAAAGAGAGAGAGAAGAGAGTGCTCAGGTAGAACGAATATTGCGCATTGTAATGCCCGCGATAAAATCGAAGGAAGAGAATGCGGAAAAAGTCTGCGTTTCCATCTCCGGCGTTCCGCGAATTCTCGGCCGCATAGGCAATGCGCGATATGCGAGACGGGAAATAAAATTGAATCGAAGAAGGGACCAAAAGGGAGTGAAGGTGATCTTGGGAGTGGGGAGAGAGAAGGGGTGTTGTCGATGGTGGTAGTTGTAGGTACGTATATAAGGGAGGAAACGAGACGTTATCGAACTTTTTCTATTTTTTTCTCTTTCTCTCTCTCTCTCTTTCATACACATACATACACACACACAAGCAGATGCACACACGTACACTCACGTGTACTTCAGAAAAATACGATTTCTAACGTTTAAATGGCTATTTCGTGGTCAATCGTATACTACGATTCCTTCGTATCGATAAATCGTTCTCGGTGCGCTGCCGGATTTATTTTTCCAACTCCGCCATTTTTCTTTTCTTTTTTTGTTATTTTTTTTTTTTTTTTAATCTATCGTTTCAAAAATCCGCGATCGATTTTCTTGTTCTAATATAGCAAATTAAATTATATTCCTTGGTGAAATTATAATTGTCCTTTTTCTCTCTTTTTTTCCCTCTTTTTTTCTTTTTTCTCTTTTTTTTTTTTTTTCCGACGATACAGATAGTCACACAAAATCGGATAAAAATTCGTATTAAAATGCGTATACTCGTACGAGAAATACTTTTAAGTAAATATTGTATATCTCCGTCGTTGTCGGAGATAGAAATTTTGTCGATATGTAAAAAGGGATCGAAATTGTCCCGGGAATATCGAATTCGAGCGTAAAAATAGTGACCGGAATAATTGAAAAAAAAAGAAAAAAGAAAAAAAACGAAAAAAAGAAAAAAATATTTGTACAAATTTGTACAAATTGTTTCAAGTAAAACAAGGAAAGAAATAACGAAATTAAAAAAGAAAAAAAATTAAAAGATCACATGAATAGGACTAACTAATACGACGTGTCACGATTGTAAAAAGAAAAAAAGAAAAGGAAAAAGAAAAAAGAAAGAAAGAAAAAAAAAATCTAAATCAATCGTCCTTGAAATAGAATATTCTATCGTCGTAATAATATTCGGAATATTTCAATGATCGTTCCAATGGAATCGAATGTAAGAAACTTCGTTGGAATCTTTGAAGAATTTCGTAAAAATTGTATTTCGAGAAATTCATCAAAAATATATTTCATATCTCGTAAGGGACGAACGGTTGAAAGGTTGTTGAGAATGAAAATGAAAAAAAAAGAAAAGAAAAGAAAAAAAAAAAATGAAAATGAAAAGGAAAAAAGTGAAAAAAAAAAGAAAAAAGAAAAACAAAACAAAAAAAAACAGACAGAGAGAGAAGCGAAGAAAAGAAAAGAAAAGAAAAGAAAAGAAAAGAAAAGAAAAGAGAAGTGAAGGAAAGAAAGAAAGAATAGGAAAAAGGAAGAAAATACGATAGAAAAGAATATAAATAAAAGAAGAGGGTAAGGGAGTTTTGTACGTATGAAGGAATTCGCAATGTGTCGGTATGCAAGGCGTAATTTCCCTGGTGCTATCGTTGGACTTGGCTAGGTTTTTCCTTACCATCTGCTAAACGAGAATCAAAAGTTTCTACTTTGCTAGTGATAGCGATAGCCAGTGTTGGTGATGTTGATGATAGTAGTGGTAGCAGTTTAACTCTCTGTATACGTAGAGCAGCAGC